ATTTTTACCACGTTTTGGCTTTGTTTAGTGCTGGACGGAGGACAGCCTGTTGTTCGGTCAGTGTAGAAGCACTCGCTGCCTCGCCACCTCCGCTTTTTCGTCTTTTTTTTTTCTTTTTGAGCGAGAGGGGATGTTGTTTTCTGCATTTTTACCACATTTTGTGGTTTGTTGAGCGCTGGAGGTGCAGGCCTGGAAGAAACACGGGTTGTTGTTCGGAGAGCGTAGGAATACTCGCGGTCTCGCCGCCTCCAGCGCCGCGAGAGCTCCGTAAACAAAACACTCGGTTTTGTTTACACGGGCGGCGGGGCCTGGGTGGCGCAGGCGGTCTGAGCCTGCCCCCATCGCCACGACAGCGACCTTTCCGCCCCGCTCCCCCTTCCGTGCGCTCCGTTCCCCCCTCCGCCATCACCTCTGGGAGGGGGGGGGGGGGGGGGGGGGCGCGCGCTCCCCTTCCCCCCCCCTCACGCCGGGACGGGGCGGGGCCGGGCGCGCGCCCCGGGGCGGGGAGGGCGGACCGCGCCATCGCTCGTGCAGCCAATGGCGCGCGGCCACCCCGCGATTCAAACGGCGCGTCCCGGCCAATGGGCGCGGTTGGCGGGCGGGAGAGGGGGCGGGGCCGTGCGCGCGGCCGTAACAGTCGCTCGGCGGGGCGGTTGTTCCCCACAGCGGAGAGTGGCGCGCGCTCGGCCCCGGGCCCCGCCGCTCCGCGGAACCGCCTCCGGCCCGGCCCGGCGCGGGCGGGCTCCAGGTAACGGGAATGGCGGCGCGAGCGGGCCGGGATACTCCCACTTCCCACCCCCTCCCCTCCCCCAGCTTTTCCTTGGCGGCTTTCCGGGCGGGAAGCGCTCCGGCCTATCGCCGCGCCCGCGCTCGGGCCTCGCTCCCGGTGGGCGGACGGGCGGCTTGGGCCCCTCGCTTGGGGCCCCGGAGGTGGCGAGGCCGAGCGCCTCCGCTTTGTTCGGCTCCTCCGCGTCGGCCTCCGAGCGGCGTTAGGCCGCCGAGGCGGGGCGCGGCCCCTCCCTTCCCCCGCGGCGGAGGCCCCGCGCCAGGCCCGGGCCGCGGGAGGGGCGGGGCCGAGGGGCCGGGCCTCCGCCGGCACGTGGGGCCCTTCCTGTCAACTGCGCCCCGCCGCTCTCGGGCCCTGCCTCGGGAGTTCAGGGTCTTGCTGTGTCTCCTCCGCTCGCGGAGCTTCTCTGAAGGGAAGATCCTCGAGTCCCAGCCCGAGGGTTGATGGATTGTTATTTTTGCCTCGAGGCTTATTTGCGCTTATTTAAAGTGGTGAATTTAAGTTGGCTTGGATAGAGATAGGTGCCTCCACCGTTCTGAAGGTGAAGAGCTAGAAATGTGGAGAGAGTAATGGTGTTGCTGAAAACGTCCTGCAAAGCTTTCTTTGGTGTATTCAGTAGTAACTTTCTGTGTACTGTTAGCCTTGGCTGACAGCATTTCATTTACTTTCCTGCATTTCTTCTTGCATTCAACTGGCTCCCTCCTCTGACATCAAGAACGTTATCTAACAGTGGTGAGATGGCAGAATTAGTAAATGGAATCACTGAGTGTGTGAGAGCTTTGCTCTTCCAAGCGGGAAAACTTGTTTAGTGTTTATTTATCCTTAAAACTGTACCCAACTTCTGCTGATGGGGTGTGCTCTCCCTGTGGCTACAAGGTAACAGTCATCACTTTCTCCAGGCTGAAATATCTTCCCACATATCTAGTGAGAGAGTCATTAAGAAGACCAGAAATGCATGCATGGGGCAATATGTTTCGCAGCCAAGTTTCTTTTTAATTATTTCATTCTTGTTTGAGTCAGCAGAAACTTTTATTCTTTACCAACTTTTAAGCTTCAGGGATATTTGCATTAATTGGCTTGGTATAGGATACAAAGTCCTTTTGATCCTTTCTCTTAGACTATAGATTCCTAAAGGAAAATAGTAATGGTTCAGAAAACATAAATTTAATTTCCTGATAAGTGACTAAACTTGCAGTCAGGTGTCTGTACAGTGCAGGGTTCATCAGATGAGATAATTTTCTTTGGATTCATGTTTTGAAGCCTGGGAATTCAGAAGTTTGTGCAGAACTACTGGGAATATTAGGCTGATGCCAGCTGATACTATGAAAATGATCAGGGGTGTGTAGAGTTTGAAACAGCAGTAAATTAAAAATGTAATCTCTAAACAAATTTTTTTTTTTAAGACTTCCTGTCTTTTCTCGATGCCAGTACTTGTGTTTGTTATCTGAACAGATGAAGGCTGCCTTTAAAAGGTTCAGCTTTTTGAAGTGGGATATAAGGAATGAGGATTGCAAACCTCCCTCACAGGAGGCACTGGGGTGCAGAACAAGGTGATAATTTTTGATAGGGTAAGAAGTTACATTTACTTCTTTTAATGTTTGAGCTTATTATTAAGCTGTAATATTTAAAGAAAAGACTTGAGAAATACCTAAGTTTTCCCATTAATAAAATTGTACATTACTTTTAAGTCAGAAGATATTTCCACTTGTTTATTTTGGAATCTCATATTGGTGAAATCTACGTCAGGCTGAACTTCGTGATACTGATTTAGCTACCAGTCTTTCAACCACATTTTTCAGTTTTTTAAAACTAACTTCAGCTCCTTTTGAGAGCAAGGTTGGAAGAAGAGAAAGTCTTTCTGCCTTTCATAATAATTAAATCATCAGATTACTTTTTCTTTGGGCTTTGTGTTTGCGTACAGAACTGCTGGGTTTTGAAATTTGGCAGAGAATTGCATTTTATTATCTCATGAAATTGCACCTAAATTTTGAAGTGCTTGCTATAAATTGGAAAAAACAGTGTAGGTGTCCTTAGTAACAACTTTAAGGAAAAATGTTACCCTTTTTGAAAAAGATTTATCCTCCAAAGGTTCTGATTTTTACAACTTTGTCTGAGGATCCGCCAGCCTTGTCCTGGTCAGGTTCCAGGTTTGCAGCTGATGCCTGAGGTGCTGCAGGTCAGGAGAAGAAACAGTTAGCTGGGGTGTAGGAAGTGCAGCAGGCAGAGGGGAAATGAAGTCATGGGTCAGGGTATGACATCTGGTGACAGCTCTGAGTGCACTCGGGGGAGCTCCAGTCTTCAGACTATTTATGGAAGAGCAGGAGGAAACTGGCTGCAGGGGACTAGGAAAGAGCAGTAGTAGATGTGGGTCTCCTAAAGTGCCTTTTGGGTGGAGAAGACTGGGCAAGGAGACAGAAATGGGGATTGAGATCAGATTTAAGCAGAGGTGGAAAAGGGGGACCACAACTGGTTTGGTGAACAAGGGCACAAAAGGCAGAAAATCCACAAAGACTCCAAGATTGGGAGGTAAGGAGAGAATGGAGAGTTTGAAATGAAAATATGGAAGTCACAAGAAACAGGGCTATGAATTTGAAGGGGTAAGCTGACTGGCATAAAAGAAAGTTGGAGGAGTAGGAGTCCAGAAAGAAGATGACAGAAACAAGAAACTGGGACAAGAAACACTGGTTAGAAGGCAGAAGAGCTGGAATAGCACATGTCTAACAAGCACGAACTGGAACTCATAATTTTTCTGACTGGCAAGTGTCAGTGAAACCAAATTATGAAACTTTTTTTTTTTTTTCCCTTCATATTATACAGCAAAGGAGATGGCCAGATGTTTCTGTTCTGAAGCAGTTTGGAATATTAGTAATAAAATCCACATGAGGGAATTCTGCTGGGTTTTTTGGTTTTTTTGACTTGGAGAGCTACACAGGTGTAAAATTTAACAACAGCAACAACATCAGAAAATGCAGAAAATCAAATGAATATTGATTGTAGAACCTCACTGATCCCCATCCCCCAACATGTGATGAAGGTCTGTGATTGAATATTAACAGTATTTTTTCCCCAAGAATCTTAAATTTTTACTGCAGGTTAGTTAATATGTAATGATTATCTAGTTAAGGACTAGTATTTACCTTAGCTTGTCTTGGCTTGGCTTCATATCTTATTTATAAAGCAAACAAGTTAAAATGATATACTTTGACACTAACATTTTGTCATTTGTGTTTTGTCCCTGCTGTCCCCTCTGAGTTCCCGTGTAGGTTGTACACATGGTGCCAGTACAGATGTTAGTGTACATTTTACCTTAGACTTTTGATGTAGTCTCACTTGATACATTCAGATTAAAAATATTTTCTACTTTGGATATCCGTTTTCAGAAGGCAATGACAAAACACAAAGCACTTTACAAACAGTTATACAGGACTTTACATTCAAAGCCAACTTTATTTAAGTTGTAGTTGTGTTTTTTCCCAGCACCTGGTGGGGTGAACCAAGGGTAGTAGTCACTTAAACCATGTTTTGTTAATATCAAGTGAAAACCTGATGGTGCAGACAGGGGGATAGAATTTAGTTTTTCAGGTTACTTTGTCATTGCTCTGATGCTGTGCTTTGTTTTCCCATGGAGCCCTGGAAAAGGCATTATGCCCTTGTGCTAAAGAGGTGGAAAAGAAAAATATTCAACCCAGACAAGAGCTTAAATTCCAAAGTTTCCTAACTTTTGAGTGTTTGACACAATAAATTGAAGAAAGTGTGTAATGTGGCTGGAAGTGTTGAAGAGATTTGGGATGTTTGATGCTCAGAAATCGTTGCTTCTGTAATTTCTGTAGAACCACAGAAGGCAGGGTTAGAGGACACTTCAATACCATGTAATTTGCATTTCCCTCTAGATAAGATGAGCTTCATTATGTAATTTTGGTCAAAGATGTGCTTTGCCTGGTGCTGGAGATTGTATATCATAGCTCAGTACTAGTCTAATACATCTTGATGTTTTTTGAGAACATGCAGCTTCAATCTTCTCTCTATTTTAAGACTTATTTCTTCTGTCTACTGTTGGTTTGGAAAAGAGATCACTGCTGTTTTCTTATCACACAGCCTTTTCCCTATTTAAAGCGGAGACTTGTTTTAAGTGTCCCCTTTTCAGTTACATGATACAGAAAGAGTAGGGGAAAATGAAGCCTAATGTTTAGCTTTCATGTGGACTGACTGATTTATTTTTTAGGGATTCTGTTTGGAAAATGCCAAGCCGGAAGTTTGCTGATGGCGAGGTGGTGATGGGCCGTTGGCCGGGAAGTGTCCTGTACTATGAAGTACAAGTGACCAGTTACGATGATGTTGCTCATCTTTATACTGTCAAGTACAAAGATGGAACTGAACTTGCACTGAAAGAAAGTGATATAAGGGTGAGTACACATGTTTTTAATTATCAGTACTTCGACTTAGGACTGGGTTGTTATTTTTCAAATTCTTGTTATCTGTGTCTTCAAGGAATCTGCGCTAAATTAGTTTCTTATGCGACGCCTCAAGTAGAAGTTCAGAATGACTCCATCTTTAAAGTATCGTGGTTGTTCTGTTTCTGTAAAAAAAGTGTAATATTTTTGAGGCAACCAAATCTAATCCTTCAGGAGCTCTATAGCATGATTTTTCATGAAAAATTGGTTTGGGTACCTTACAAAGGTAGTAATCAGTGGGTTGATACTAATTTGATGGTTTTCCATCTCTAAATAAGAAAATTTGGTCATAAATGAGAAGATGCATTTAAAGGTCACTGTAAATATAAACAATGCATGCCCTTCAAGCACATACTTAAAACATCTGCAAATAGCTTTTATTTGTTTAAGTCCTCAAAGGCTTCATGTGGTATTTTGCTGTATTTATTACAATTACAAGCCCTTGAGAAGGGTTCATGTAATATAAACACATTCCTTCCTCTTTACATATTGTTATTATTTCATATCATCGAGGCCTTTGAAACTTGGTAGAAGTTTCAGTTGAAAATGAGTAATGCAGGAGGAAAAAACCCTGTCTGAATGTTCACTGTAGTCCATTTCCATGGCCTGTTCTGAAACCTGCATAGTTTCAAAGCCAACTTGTGTGTCTTTATGTGAACTATAGTGTCACTTCTTGGTGGCAGTGTCCATGCCCAGTAACTGGCCTTCTCTTTTGGGACCAAAATGTTTCTGCCTTGAGGTACACAACTGTTTTCACTGCTTTAAGACTTTCTGACTTGTTACTTCTGCAATGCAGGTTAGCAGACTCAAGCTGGGAAAATGCCTTTCTTTGTCATGAAACATTTATGCATTATAAAAATTGGATTGTGGGAATTTTACATGGGGAAATCAGCATTGTAGACTTCACAGAGAAATCACTTAGTGCTTTTGGAGTAAGCTGTTCATGAAGATAGTTACAGGATACAGTGAAATGCTTAGGATGACTTGGTTTTTTTTTAGTGTTGATTTGCTCTGTATTGCCTCACACAGATGATGAATCTTGCTATCTTAAACGTATTAATTAAGCTGAGTAGTGGAAATGAGAGCAGTCTCTGAGGACTTACAAGACAGCTCTCAATTCCTTTCCCTATGCACAGGATTGAGAGGGTGGTGTGCTTAACAGCTTGGTGCTCACTTTGGTAGTTTACATCCATATCCTCTTTTCTGTAGCTTCAACAGGAATTGCCAGCAGCAGTTGGACTTGGAACAGGCTTGTTTGGGAATTGCCAGCAAAATGAGTATTCTTCAGTTGCTCTTTCTCAACAGCCTTTGTAGAGCATCAGTAGAGGAAATACGAGACAGATCTATAGAACTGTATGCCAGAGTCCTCAGCACAAAAACACCCCATGTTTCTAAAATTGTTCTTTAGGATGTGGATAAGATTTTGCTTTCTTTCCATCTTTCTTTTAGTCACAGTCAGCATTCAAACACAGGAAGAGTCAGTCTTCTTCAAGTTCTCCCTCCAGAAGAAGTAGCAGCAGATCTCGGTCTCGGTCTCGGTCTCCTGGTCGGCCAGCAAGGGGCAGACGTCGTTCTGCTTCCCAAAGCAGAGAACACAAAGATGACAAAAAGAAAACCATTCAGGAGACCAGCTTAGCTCTACCGGTATTGGTTTTGTTTTGTTTTTTTTGTATGTGGTTTTGCTCGATTTTTTTTTTTTTTTTTTTTAATTAAAAGAATCTTCGGCTATTTGTGTAAGATTGGTTTAATGCAGGCTGGGTTTACCATTGCAAAAAAAAGCTTATAAAAGCGAGCTGCAGCTCATGTTCCCTGGACAGCATAATTACCTGCAAAAATATATCTCATAACTGCTTTTTTTTCTTTAGAAATAGGGTTTCTAGCTTGCAAAGTTTGAGGAAATTCTTGAGAGGTAAACCAAGATTATAAAGTTCCACTTGAATCTGGTGATACTGCAAACTTCTCAGAATCCAAACAAACACAAATTTTTTAATATTTAATATTGAAGTCATTAGCCATCTGCTTCCACATGTGAAATGGGGAAAAAGGAAGTTAGCTTACTTTTTTGGTGTGTTAATTGGTATGTAGCAGGTATGTATTTGGATTTGAAATAAAATTAGTTCTATTATCATATACAGTTTATTACAATAGTAGTGGAAAGCATGCAGTGTGGAATATTTAAATACAGTCTTGCTGATGGATAATATTGCAAAACTGTAAGGATTTCTAAGTTTACCAAAATCTGGTAATTTAGCTGAAGCTCATTAGGTTTGTTCTTACCATTTTTGTGAAGATTGAGTGCTAAAAATGGTTCTGGTGATCTTTATGTGAAGATGAGTAGAGGTGATGTTTCTCTGTCAAGAGACAAACAGCATTTCTTCTGCCTCTTGTGCCCTTGAGATGGCTTCTCGCTTGTCTGAGGCACAGTCCCTTGAAATGGAAATGCATTCTGCTGATTTATTGAAAATGATCATAGTTTATTTAGGTTTCAGCTAAACTAAAGCAGATTAATATAAACTAGCTAGATAGGTTTAGTAAATTGCTGCTCTTAGGCACTGAGACAGTTGTGGGATTTGTTTTGCAGTAAACTCCTTTAGAACTGTGTGATCCAGTGCCTGTGGATCACAAGCTAGTTGTATGTCGTTTTTTAGCTAGCAGCTGCTGTTTACTTTTTGTACTTTTAACCTTTTGGGATAAAAGGTTCAGAAATCTTTGGTGGTCTTGTCCTGGATTCTATATGAGGAGTAGGATTGATCTGTTTGCTCTTGTGTGACTAGAAAGACCGTATTCTCTTCAACAAAACTTTGGTTGAAATAAAACATGTAAGTCATGTCTTCCCAGAGCTGTGTAAGCTAGACTCATGAGAAGAATTTTTATGAGAGAATTTATTTCTTCAGAGATATTTTATAGAAAACAAAAATTTCAGTTTCGCAGAACAGTGCAGTGTACAGGACCCTGAAAGCTTAAACTGTGTTTCTTCCTTTAACCAGAAACCGAGTGAGAATAACACCAAGAGGTACAATGGTGAACCTGAGAGTACAGAAAAAAATGACACATCCTGCATCATCTTGGAGGTAGGAACATGGAATTTGCTCGTAGCTTTTTGTCATGTTCCTAGCTTGTCTCTCAGAAATTCCTAGAAAAGGGCAATACAATAATCAAGCAAAAATAAAACTTAGAGGTTAAGTAAATTTGCTACAGAGAAAGTGATTTTTTTTTTTTCCTTAGTCCTGATTGTTATCTAATGCCCAGGCATATGGCAGAAGGGAAAGGAGGAGGGTGGCAGTGGATGATCTGTACTGGAACTGCTGATGATTTATAATTATGGCCCAACAGGTTACAGTGCCTGGTTATAGAAGTTTCTTTATATGAATGGATAATTGTATATTGGTGCTTTATAGTGAGTAATGTCCTCTGAAATATACAGTATTGAACTAGAATAAAGTAAAATCACTGAGCAACTCTTTAGTAAATTATTTTTATTCATTCACAGCAAAAGTTAAAACCAGACCTGGAAATCAAGCGTGTGCTTGAGCAGTACAGCTTGCGTTCGAGGAAAGATGACAAAAAAGAAGAGATCTATTCAGAGAAAAAGACTTTGGTGGCTGTAAAACCAATTGAGAAAGTACCAACAAAAACAAAGGAGCTGGAATTTGGGGGAAGAATTGGTACGTGTGCAAATTGTCTTAATAGTTGAAAATTAGTACTGTTTTATGGTTTTTACTTATTGACTATACTGTTGTCAACCACTGCTTTTTGGACCTTGGCTGCAGAATTCAGAGTAAAATTGTTGTGTTTCACTTGATTTGGTGGCAAAGAACATTTGTTGCACTTAGTTCTTGCATGAAGTACAGTGAAGATCTTGTGCCTTTCCTTGCACACTGAGATTTATATATTTCTAGATTAAAATTAAGAATAACCAGCAAAGCTTTTACATTTTCAAAACTTAGCTGCTTGAAACTTGACAGTAAAGTATTTTTTCGATAGTTTTTTGATTGTTTTTGAGGGATGTAATGAGTGTGATCCTGTGGTAGATGACCTTGTATGGGAGTGAGAGGAATGTCTCAGTGTCCTGTAACATGACTTTGGCATTGCTGCTGTCTTGTTCAGGAGAAGATAATGACAACCTCGTCTTTGTTACTGAAGTTAATATTGAGCTTTTTTAGTGGGATTTAAACAATTTTTTAAGTTTTCTGTGCTTACCTTCTAACACGCCATGATGTCTGTTTACAGGGACCTTCATGCTGATATTTCTTCTGCCTGCTACTGTATTCTACTTGCTGTTGATGTGCAAACAAGATGATCCGAGCCTTCTGAACTTCCCTCCTCTGCCAGCACTTGAGAGTCTTTGGGAGGGGAGAGTGTTTGGTGTCTTTCTTCTGTGGTTTTTCCTTCAAGCTGTGTTTTACTTGCTGCCAATTGGAAAGGTAGGCTGTTGGGAGCAATTGGGTCTTTATGGGCAATTAAACTGTGTGTTAGGTTGGAAGGTGGGGTATGTTCTAAATGCAGTGAGTTTGAAAGCAATTTAATGAGTTTTTCATAATAAACTGGAATATGGCTGCTGCAGACTTCTGTAAATTTAAAACAGTGCAGCTGCTTAAGAATTTTTGTTTCAGAGCCTTTCAGTAGAGAACACAGAAGGCATTTTATAGGTATTCAGATCAAAGTGTGGATAAACTTTGCTTGATAGAATTCTAGAAAAATTTTAGGTATCTGACTTTTAAATTCATGCACTGTTTCAATACTCAGTTTCTTATGGATATATCCAGCATTTTGGAATGTAATCTTCATTTACAGGAAGCTATAAACCATTCTAGCCGTATGCATATGAGGCAGAGGCTCTCCTTCCCTCTCTTTGTGACTTGAGGGTTACTGGCAGATTCTGAAAGGACACTCTGAAGTAGATCAGTCATGTTTTACTGCTGTACGTGTTCACAATGATTGAAGCAGTTCTGTTTTATTCAAGCTGGTTAGGAAGAGGTTTATTTTTTAAAATGTTTTTATTTGAATCTGTTAATCTTTTTCATTTGCTATCCCGAGTGTTTTTTAGAACAATGCATGAGATTCAGGTTTGAATGTTTCCAGATGGTTGCTTTGACTGAATGTCTTTCTGGCAGAGTTGAGCTTGGTTTTCCTCCCCTGAAGGGCCCACAGAAGATACTTTGTTGAACATCAAGATTTTATTCTTCCTAGGTTGTAGAAGGCCTGCCCCTTTCCAGTGGAAGGAAACTGCAGTACCGGATAAATGGTAAGCATGTTGCAATTGATTATTCTAAAAGTGATTCCGCTGTGTGATTTGCAGTGCCTCAGCACCATGAAATACAAATGTTGAAAGATATGGTTTGACCAGAGAATGTATCTGTTGTAAATCTTGGATAAAATAGGATGAGCCTTTTCTTGGTAATCATCAGGAACTAAGTGCCCCAAGAGCAAGACGTTACACTGTACAGGGGTGGTAGTGGAATCCAAATACCACATGAAAAAGCTGAGTTTTGTCATAGTCTGGTAAGATGCACCATTTTAAAGTTGGAGTAGGGCTGTAAGTAATAGAAACAAGGAGAATTACATCCTGCAAAAGTGAGTCTCATTGAGGCTGTCTCATACCTGTCTTGGTTTTGGACTTCTCTCTTTCTTGTTTTGTCTTTATCTTTTTTTTTTTGTCTTCAGTTGTGCCATAGTGCTGCTATTCTTTCTGCATTCTGGTAAAGGGAGGAAATAAGCTATGTAATTTGGATTATTAAAAAAAACCAAACTATATCGTCTTGGTGCTTCAAAGGCTAATTTTATAAGCAAATTTAGAAGCTTTTTTGAAGAAAGGTAGATGGCCAGTGACAGGACAGGAGGCACTGGGACACAAAGTGAAGTACAAAAAGGTTCCATTTGAACTAGAGCAGATGAGCTCTGGAGGTTCCTTCTAACCTCAACCCCTGTGACCCTGTGACGGGATCCATAGAAAGTTCTTAGCTGAGAGCAGCAGAGAACTACCTGCTCCTGTTTGGGCATCAATACATTCTGCATGATTTTATACTCTCAACATATGCAAAAGGTTTTGTTATCACTTGGTAAATCATCTTAGTACTTTAATTACTGCTATCTGTATCAAGGTATATATGAAGATAATTCAGAGAATATGGTTGTCTCAGCTGTCCCACAGATAAGGTTTTGTGACCTGCTATCATTATCCATTTGTAGTGTCAGTGTCCATTTTTCCACTAAAATCTGAAATTGGATCCTATGGCATAAAAAATTGAGAGGTATTCAGAGTGCTCTTGCCTCTTGTCCTTTTGATGAGCAGTTTCAGGGCTTAGAGTCTCTTAGTTATATTGCTGTACCCTAAAAGTCTGAACTGTGGGATTTCCAAGATGTTACTGGGTTATAGACAAATATTGTAAGAAGTAAAAATGCAGAAATGTTGGATTATGTAGGTCCTATTAGAACAATTTTTATTTTTTTAAAATTTTGACTAATATGCCTTTATTCTACATCCTTTAGGGTTTTATGCTTTTATTTTGACTGCTGCAGCTATTGGAGTTTTATTATACTTTCAGTTTGAGCTTCATTATTTGTATGACCACTTCATGCAGTTTGCAGTGTCAGCTGCAGCTTTTTCTTTGGCACTGAGCATTTATCTGTACGTTCGATCCCTGAAAGCACCTGAGGAAGAACTAGCACCAGGTGGAAATTCTGGTGAGTTAGAACATTCTGGATAATTTCTTTCCAATTGTTTGTTGTAGTTTCATTTTTACAAATTGAAGGCTAGATATAGGGCTGGTTATATTAAGACCGTGACTTTTGCTTTTTTCTGTGAAGTGCTTTTTATTTATTTATATTTATTTATTTTTATTGCAATCCCAGTCCCACATATCATGAAGTCAGGGCATGGTATTTTGCTTCTTGTCCACCTTTTTTGATGGATGGGTAATTGTCACAGCTAAAAGGAATTATTTTTCCCAGACAAAAGCAATTAAATAGAAGAAAATGTATAACTAATTAAAGCCATATGATTATGTTCATAGATGCTGTGGTGTGAGCTTCAGGATAAAGCTGAAAAGAAAGAAGGAACAAGTGTCAGGGAGAACTTTTAAAGTGCTTAGTCTTCCTAATAAATAGGGCATCTTAAAATACAAACTGTGTAGATTTTGTTTTGTATTTTGCACATACACTTGAAATTTTATTTTTTTTTCCCAATCTGAAGACTTCTAAAAACTTGTAATGAGAGAACATTAATGGAAAGGGGGATTTTACTTATGGGGAGGAGAGTAGTGGCAGATAAAAAAAGGAAGAGTATTGCTAACAGAGGTTGTGTCTTACCTGCAGGATATTTTATTTATGATTTTTTTACTGGACATGAATTAAACCCTCGTATTGGCAGTTTTGACCTCAAATACTTCTGTGAGTTGCGTCCAGGATTAATTGGCTGGGTGAGTCAGTAATCTGAGTTATTTTATTTGCTAAAATATTACACAGAGGGATTTTTTTACACACACACACATACAATTGATATTAAGGAAATTCATATGTATGTATTTATGAATACTGTATATATACTTATAATGAGTACTGAAAAACAGCTACACCTTGCTAGTTTTCTAATGACCATTTTTATTCACTTGAAGGAAATTTCTACCTTGTTTTGTGGCAAATGAAAACTCTTTTTAAAGTATTAATATGTTGAGATTATACAGCTTCAGAAATGTGGTTAGTTGCAAACTGATTTGTGATATAGTTAATAGTGTTTTTAAACCTAAACATTGGTCAAAAATGCCTGTAGTGTAATAGTAAAGACCACCTTCTTTTACAAGTAATTTTAAAATTAAAGTATTTTCTAACTTAGGTTGTTATAAACTTGGCAATGCTCTTGGCTGAGATGAAGATCCACAATCTCAGTGTGCCATCCCTGTCCATGATTCTTGTGAACAGCTTCCAGCTCCTCTATGTGGTGGATGCTCTTTGGAATGAGGTAAATGTCAATCCCCTTCAACTGTTTCCATTTCTAATTACAATGTTGAGAGAGAGGCTTTGGAAATGCTAAAATTCTTTTCTCCTTGTTTCTAGGAAGCCATTTTGACTACAATGGATATTACCCATGATGGATTTGGATTCATGCTGGCATTTGGAGATTTGGTGTGGGTTCCATTTGTCTACAGCCTGCAGGCCTTCTACTTAGTGGGTCATCCCATCACAATTACTTGGCCTGTTGCTGCTGCAATTACTGTTCTGAACTGTAAGTTATAGTAAATGCCATTGTTGCTGTTGGTTACAACATAGTTGTGAAGAGGTGAAGTTTTAGCTCAGATGCAGCAGTCATTGTCTGGCTCCTGTGAAATACGAAGAATATAATAAGTTTTCATTTTAGCAAATGAAGGATAGGTGGGACTCTAAACGCCTAATTGTTCTGTTGAGAGGCAGCTCTAGGTGGGTGCTGTCTGGAGTTGAAGTGACTTCTGAGTTCACTTTTAAAAAAAATAGTCAGTACCTAGTTGGCAACTCTCTACTGAACCTAGGGAAAAAGTAACTATTTCCATCTCCTTCCCTGATGACCACAGTTACAAACACGTCAGTAGAAAACATCTTTTTTTATCAAAGCTGAGTGCTTTGAGGAAAGATCTCACATCTTTAGGCAACATTAAATTTGTAGCAACATAGCCTTGTTGTCTCTATTATCTGCACAGGAAACCCAAAAAAACACACTCATATTTTGTAGACATGTCAAAGAATTGGAAAAATGAGAAGATGTACAACTTAATATATGTGCAATACTGAAAAACAGAAAATATTTTTTTCATCTTCACCTAATGTTTTTTCTTGGGTTTCTATTTATTTTTTTAATGGCATCTTTATTGAAGTATGTTGTGATCATCTTTTCAATGCAGCTTTAGCAAAAGTAACTTTAAGCTGTTGTGTGAAAATTATGGGGGATATGAATTTCAGACCCAGATCATTCATTGCCTGGTTCTTTTATTATCATGATCTTGTAAATGGGTAGTCAGTTTATGGAGTAGGTGCTATAACAAAGTGCTAGGCTGCTAAATAGAGCTGTAACCATACAAAGCTCAGCACATCACCGTATGTCGGCATTACATTAAAAAGCTCAGGTTCTTCAGAATCTCTTCAAAGTTAGTAACTGTCCTGGGGTGACCTAAAGCAGGACAGTAACAAAAAGGAGCACATGGAATGCAGGTTTCCAATGGTATTTCTATCTTGTTAGAACTCTGAGAATCAGAAAATATCATTTGAATCTCTGGGGAAAAAACTTCGATGGCATAAGTGTGGCAGAGGGCACGTGAGTGCTTTTGTTGAATCTGAGAAAACTGGAAAATACTGAAAATGCAAAATACATCATGTTTATTTTCAGGTATTGGGTATTACATATTCCGTAGTGCAAATTCTCAGAAAAACAATTTCCGACGGAATCCAGCAGATCCCAAATTGGCCAGTGAGTAAATTTTTTATTCCATTGGTTGTGATTTTATTTGATGGCTCTTTGTAATATTTAAATACATATTTCAATCACTGCATTCACCACAATGCTCTGTTCACAGATCTGAAATTTATACCCACTGCAACTGGAAAAGGGCTTCTTGTCACGGGTTGGTGGGGTTTTGTTCGTCACCCTAATTACCTCGGTGACATCATCATGGCTCTGGCATGGTCCCTACCCTGTGGTGAGTTTCTGAGACTAAAGTGGATTTGAGTAAAAATGCTTTTATGTTTTGTATCTGACTGGGTTTGAAATGCCAAGTGGTAATTATTCGAGATGGCAAACCCTACTGAACGGCAGATTTCTGTGTCATGTCTAATGCGATGCATTTTCTCTTCCATTTTACCCTTTCTAACTTGGTGCAGATTTGACATATACTAAAGATTTACTCATCTTTCTGACACTTTATCATTCAATAACCATGGGACTTACTTGCTAGTCAGCTGTTCTGCAAGTTTCCTAGGCTAGTGAGTGTGTTTTCAGCTGAAATTCCTCAAAAGTGGGAATTTGCTTGGAGACAAAGGCTACCATATACAGGGATGACTTGAAGTGAAATACATTTAAAGAAAGGTCGTCAAACACAGTGAAATTATCTTTCAAAGTGTTTGTTAGTAATACAGTGTTCCTTGTACTGGGGACCCCGGAGCTGGACACAACTCTCAGGTGGGGTCTCAGGAGAGCAGAGTGAATCAGAACCTGGTGCCACATTCCTTCTGATGCAGCCCAGAATACAGCTGGCTTTTTGGGCTGCAGTCTCACGTTTGTGGGTCATTTCCAGTTCTTTTCATCTGCAAGTCAAGTGAGGTGCTCTTAGCAAAGCTGGGCTCATGTCCGCGGCCAAAATAGAAACCCTTGTGTGGGGCAGTTTTGTGGCGCAGAGATTTGACTGGAAACCTGGTTTTGGTAACTAAAGAACTTAAAATGTGTGCCAGTTTTGTATGCATTGGGGGTGAAATTGGTAGATTTTGTGACTCTAAATTTTAGGAATTAATTTCTGTGCATTTATGGATCTTTTTCTATCTGCATGTGAACATACCTCACAATTTTTGCTGTCCTGTTGAATATTTGATGCTTTAGGAGTATAAAATGCTTTAGCCTTGAACAAGTGTCATCAGCTTTAAACATGTTAATAGCTACCATCTCTAGATTTTTGTCCTGTATCTAAGTTAACTTTCTCCCTTTGCAGGTTTTAATCACATTTTACCCTATTTCTACGTGATCTATTTCATCTGCTTGCTTGTTCATCGAGAGGCTCGTGATGAACACCACTGTAAGCAAAAGTATGGCTTGGCCTGGGAGAGGTATTGCCAGCGCGTCCCGTACCGCATCTTCCCTTACATCTACTAGAGCACTCCAAGGGCCTGATGGGCAGATTATTGCTACAGTTAGTTTCCTTGCAGAGAAAAAGATACCTCTTACCTTTGCACTTGGTCATTTGTTATTTAGGCTTTTAAAGAAAACAAAACAAACAAAACCCGACCCAATGTTGGAGTGCGTCAAAGGTGTTAATTTACGAGTAAATTTTAACATGTAAGTTATGTGAACTGACTGTCTGTGACTTCAATTTTAAAAAAATAGTGAATTTTCAAAACTTTGAGCCCTAATTTTTCAAGCTAAATTTTATCTAGAATTCTGAGTTTACATTTTTTTATTGCATTTAATTAAGCACTGTGATGTAAAGTATATTATTTTCTTAATACAATAAATGCTGAAATTCCATCCAGTTCATTTTTTGGTGTTACTTGTACCATCTAACTTCAAATGTCCAATTTAGTTGCCTGAATTGGAGGAGCAGCAAGGTCTTTTTGGTCAGTGGAGCTGGAAACAGGATTTGACTCACGTGAGGGGCCTTGCAGCCCATGGCCAGAGCTGGCACAGCTCAGCTGTATGGTTGTTCCCCTCCTGGCTTTTCATTGATCGCATTTTTTTGGTCAGAGAGGCTCAGCTGGCCCCTCCCGCCCTGCACCTGCAGGAGGACAGAGATGGAATTGGGAGAAGGGGCACAGCTGTTCCATTCTCCCACCCCACATTGAGGCAGTTCCAGCACAGCCTGGGCGCAGCTCTGAGCCACTGCCTGGCAGTGCCCCGGCCCTAGAGATGGAAGCCGTGCTGTGGCTCACACTCCTGGAGGGAAACACTTCAAACACTTGCTGTGGCTGTGGAAGGGAGTAATGAACCTTCAGCTTGCCTTTAGCGCTGAACATGGGGTAAAAATTGTGCCGTGTCTGCCTGTTGGGCACAAAAGGATAAAATGACCACAGCTGGCTTCTTCTGATCTTTGTAAATTAAGTCTTAATGTACCATAGTGTTTACCAAGTCTGTATAATAAGGTCTCCAACTTTTTGCTGTACAGTGTTTGGATTTGAAAAATGCAACAGCTTTTTTAGAAACAGGAGAAATCAGTAACTAAACAAATTTCCAGTAATTTAAAAAAAAATTAATTGAATAAAGGGTTTTGTAAATTAATGTAGTTAATTCTTGAAACAATGGAAGTGTTCATTTAAATATTTGTATTGACAGATATGCTTATGAAAATATAGGAAATGCTCCTCAATCCAAAGTTGTTCTTTTGGTTTCTTTTTGTTTTTAATTTGGCATTGCTACCTCATATGTAGGTGTTGCCTTTTGTACTGTTGCAGATAGAGAAATAGCTATTTTTTTGCTATTGCTATTTAAAACAACATTTTTTACATGAGCCTGTGGTTAAACTCAACCACTTTCTAATATATTTTTGTATATATTTGACTTTTGAACTAATGTATGTGTTCTGGTCACTAGCTGTGTTCTTCGTCTAACTGGCTGTAAATGAGATGCCCTTGTGGTATTTACTTCATAAGTAGAATAATTTTACTGAAATACTCTTGCTTAATTAATTAGCTTTTATTCTGTTGTCACAAGTAAGAGCTTTTCACACACTTTGTACATGAGGTTTATAGCACAAGTTGCCCTAAACAGCTTATTAGAATATTAAATATAGTGCAGATAGTTCTGCACTTGCTTGCAGGAGTGTTCCTAATAAATTGGAATGTTATTTATCATTTTTTTCAGTTATTTTAAAATGTTGATGTAATTGAAATCTAGCATGTGATTTTTTTTTTTTTTTTTAAATAAAATAACCTATTTTGTACACGGGCATTTTTTAAAGATAATTGTACAATTGAAGTGTATATAATGTAGCTTGATTGTTGGTGTTGTAAGGAAATTATTTTAAGACAAGTACTTTGATTGCTGGCAGAAAATAGCAGTGCCTCTAACAAGACTCGAGAGAATTCACTCGTGTGAAGCAGCAGATTAAACTGGGATATTGCTGTTTTCAGTCCTCACTGAATGAATTTATGGGAAATGGAGAAATCATTAAAGGGCCCTGGCGTGCAGCTGGTGCTTTAAAATCTGCTGAAGGTGGGGGCACTTTGATTCTTCAGCCTGTAAAACAGGAGATGCTCCTGCTGTTGTTCCCAGTTTTATCTGTTGCCACCTAAGGTTGTTCAAATGTCATTCAGAGCACTTGTCTTTCAGAACCTAATCCTGACCAATGACAACTTCAGTTCATTTACATGCTGAATTTTATGTGAATTTGATTTTGAAGTAACTGTTTTTAATACAAACAAGCCTATGAGCTAAAATAAAGGTTTTGCTTAAAACTAAGTAGTGTAATTTTTTTCCAATTCATGGGGCTATTTGATAAAAATTACATTGATTTTTTTATATTTCGTACAGGTGTGAGTTTGCTGGAGTTCCTATTGTACCTGTGCTTGTGGGCTGAGTGTTAGGAGCTCATGTGGGGTGCTTCTCTTAGTCTGCCTGGGCATTTTTTTCTTCTTCCCTTCTGCTACTCTAAAAAAACCTTGAATCTGAGCTGCAAAAATACAGAATTAACACTCAATTTGCCTATAGGATATTGTATTTTCTCCCACAGCCTCTAATAGAAAGTTAAAACCAAAACCAATTAGGCTGTATCCACACAAAGTGTTACTGCATGGGAAATAAATATAAGTTTGACCTACAAGACTGTAGTGGAACAGGAATGATAGTTTTCTTTACAGAAGGATATTTACCCTTAGGTAATAAAAATGTTTGCTGAAATTACATTTACCAGAGCTCATGAAAACCTTCCTGAAGCACAGTTCTTGCCTCTTGGGGAGTGAAAGCTGTTTGGGGGAGTGGGTGGAAATCCTTTCCTGTGTGTGGATGGAGAACATATTGCACTGTCTGTACAGAGCTGTTTTCTGCTGGGGAAGTTCCCTTAAATTAGAAGGAAATACTTTGATAGAGCTTTTACTCTTTTAGTATTTTAAAAGAAGTCTTAACCAGCAAACCTTTAAACAAGTATTTTTCAAACATCTCTACCTTTTTGTATATGAGTGTCAGCAATAACAGCATTCCCAAATGTCATGGGAAACATTTTGTGTCCCATTGTGAGAGTGGGGAAACCTTTTGAAGGAAAAATTGGAAGTTGGCCAAACTGGACTGGTGTTTATTTTTATTAGGTAAGAGTGTGTGTTTGTGGTTATCATATTCCCATCATGTCAACATCCCATCCATCTTCCTCTGGACACGATCTGGTGCTGCAGCCAAATGTCTCCAGTAATTTTCCTTCTGTACCTCGAGGTAGTCTGTTCCCCTGCCCTCTGAGTAGGGATAGGGAATGCCAGAGCCAGGGATTCCAGCAAAACCTTTTCCTGTCTCCCCCAGTGCTGCATCTCAACCTACAGACGCTGGGTGGAGCAGGTTATTTACTTGTTGCTGCACGCTGTCAGCTCTGTTCCTAAGGAGCAGCACCCGCCTTGCTGCGGGAAGAACACGTTTTTCCACGGCAACCACCGGTTTCCCTGCCCTCTGCATAAAGGACTGGAAGAGGGCAGCAGTTCCCTGTGTCCTTGTGCTCTTCAGTTCCTTCCTGACCCCTGGCTGAAGAAGGGAAAGATGCTCCTGCATAAACTGAGGGACAGCACTCTCTTGGGGGACCTGGGAAATGCAAATGGAAGTGACTTGGTGCTGTGCTCATCACACAGATTTTTCTGCCCTTCCTCTAGGAAAAGCTTCCCAGGAGCTTCTTGAGCTTCTGAGCTTCCTGATGCTGCCTGTTGGAGCTGGATATCACTAGGTTTAGTCAGCCTGACTTAAGGCCTTCTTGCTCCTGTATTTCAAACTGCAGAAACTTTAATGTTAATGAACTGACCAGACAGGGGATCCACCTAAAGCTTAGAATCAGATGAAGTGAATTCCTGTGAAAAGATCTCTAATAAATGGTAGATCCTGGGGTATATAAGCAGAAATTAATGCCCAGAGGAAGGGAAAAATGTTGAACTCAAAGCCACATTCAAATTCAAACCATTTTTGCTTTTGGCAACACAGCTTCAAAAATCCCCCTCATATTGTAACTATTAATGGAAAAGCCTTTCTACTGGCAAGGCAGATGATGCTCATGCAAGGCTGCTCAAATGATGATGTAAAAAACCAAAGCAGAACTATTTCATGCTCTTTTCTGTGTGTAATTTTATAATCTTGTCAAGACTCTGAAAGCAAACTGATCCTGCAGACAAAAGGTGAACACTGGAATCATACAGCAATTTCTGCATGTGTTTACATCTGCTTATCACAGCCTTCAGGGAATGGAAGCTAGCCAGGCTGAGAACCAAAATAAACCTTTGGGAAGTTTCCTGTGAGGAGCTGAGAGTTTATGGAAGTGTACAGTACAAAATTAAAGGCTTGTTAACCACCACTTGTGGAAGTCTATGGTATAAATTTAGGGGCTCCTCAGCAACAATAGTGGGCTGCTGCTGCTGCAGCTGAATGACTACACAGTAAAGAACAAGAGCTCCTGACCCATGGCCTGGTGGTTTTGTTCAGCCTGGTGAGAATTTATAACAAATAATCACAGCCCAAGTGATCAGTTGTGACATATCCCCCTCCCCGCACCCCCTTCCTAACCTAAACAAAATCAAAATGAAAGATTTTGTTGTACAGTTCCCATAGGGCATTCCTGAAACTTACAAGGATTCTTTGGTGGGTTTGCTTGCTTAAGTTAAGGAGGTAAAAAGAACAACTTTCATGTCTCCTAAGCTTTGGACAAAAATGCTGATCTTACACCTCTGAACCTCAGGTAAAAACATTGTTATAATGAGGTAATGACATTGTTATAATCGGGTAAAAACATTGTTATAAATGTCAGTGGTCCCTCACTGACCTAAAGAAATACAGATACTTTCCTTAAATATTAAGACAAAAATTATCATTTTCATTTTTATTTTAATAGCAAAGCCCCACATTTCCAGTCCCCTTACGTCCCTGCTTAACCTCGTGTCTTTATGTGCTCAGTTCCTTTGATGATGTTGGTATTTTACAGAGGAAACAAAAATTGCTCAGCATGCTCTTCATTTTCATCAGCAATCTAAGCTGTAGTTTACTGCAAACCTCATTAACTTTGG